TTTTTTTTTCCCTTCTGTTTGCAGATCTAATTGCTTGCTTGGCATTTGGCATTTGTGGAGAACAGGACAATGGCTGCCAGCAAGAGCAAGAACCAGAGTTCCTTGGCCCTCCACAAAGTGATCATGGTTGGCAGTGGAGGTGTAGGCAAATCTGCACTCACTCTTCAGTTTATGTACGATGAGGTAAGTTGGGTTTGGCAGTGCTGCAGCTTACTAGGTTAATGAGGTGATAGATACCTCAGTGGGCTGCATCTCTGGGGACAAACAGGATGGGTCTTGGTACCTTGCTGAGATAATGCAGAGTGTCAGTTGCTGACTGGACACTTCCTTGACTTGAGTTTGACATAAGGAATACCATGTCAAGACTAACCTGAGGGCACAAGTCTTTAGGTGTAGCTCATCTGGCATAAGCTTTAACCTAGCTAGGCTTGGCTTGGAGAACTCATCATGCAACCTTTTGATGTCCTGTGAGACAGGAAGGAGATAGAAGGATGAGATGCCTTCACTGGACCTGAGTTTGTGGGCCTGGACCTGTCCACACTGGACCTGTGTTGCCAGCAAAATTACAAGATGAACTGACAGTGGCTCTGGGGGGGTGGTCAGATCAACATTTAATGCCCAGCAGCTCTATGCCTGTGTAATTATGGAGCATTCTTTCATGCTCAGCAGTTGAACACGATTGTCAGCACCTGTTTAAACTTCAGATAGTTGTACCTTGGGTGTGTTCACAAATGCCTTATTCTTGAAGTGGGTATGATACCAGGTTACTGACAGCTTATACTAGATGTTCCTTTGTCCTTTAAACTGTGCTGAAGTTGCTGGACAGAGTTTCATCTAGCAAGACTATTTCTCTTAACTAAGCAGACTCTTTGATGTATTAAGTGCTTAAGTAATTTTCTTTTTGTAGTAAAATTAAATGATGCAACTTAGTAGGTAACTGAACTATGGAAAGGCCATGAGGAATTTAGGAAGAAAAATGGATACAGGAAAATACTGAGTGCCATTGGACAATGTCTTAAACTAATTCCTGTTTTTATGCTAATCAGTTTGTGGAAGACTATGAGCCTACTAAGGCTGACAGCTACAGAAAGAAAGTAGTTCTGGATGGTGAAGAAGTTCAGATAGACATTCTGGACACAGCAGGACAAGAGGATTATGCAGCCATCAGAGATAACTACTTCCGCAGCGGGGAAGGGTTTCTTCTAGTCTTCTCAATAACGGAGCATGAATCCTTTACAGCAACAGCAGAGTTTCGGTAAGTGTGTGGTGGTGGCGGCAGCTTGGATTTAGATCCTATGCCGCTCTGACAGCTTTTCTTAAACTATACCTCTTTATCTTTTGTCATTTCCCATTTGGTCAATGAAGGTGTCAGTCCAACAACTATGTTCTCAAGTAACTGGTAACTAAAACCACTATATGTAGCCTTTGGCTATAGTTGTCCTCATGCATTTAACTTAGGAGTATCTCATGCCAGCAGCAACTTAAGGCAAGTAACAGATTCTTGGACTCCTAGAACTTGTGCATTCCAGCCAACTCTTCAGTCTTGGTAAACGTGGAGTTTAATTATCTTCAAGCAGTACTTCTGGAATTAAGTCTACCTTTTGGCCAGATTTCAGACACTGTTGCTTACTGCTGGAAGCAGGTGCTCTAAGGAAAGGAAGGATCAGCCTTCACTCTCAGGTATGGCTGGGTGCCAAACAAGGGTTGGCAGCCAAGCACCACTATTGTAGGCAGGCGTATTCCTAGAAAGACAAGCAGCAGTAGTAAGTGCTTCAGTTTTGTTCCCAGGATTAGCTGTTCTGATGTAAAAATCAGTACCAGCCTGAGCATGGAAATGGCTTGTGTA